AGCAAGTTACAAAACGTAAATATAATTCTTCTTAGTGCCTTTCCGGATGCCACCGATGCCTTTTCCGATACCTCTAATGTTTATTACAGCAGTAAAAGATATATGTGCCACCAACACTTTTGAAAAATTGCTTAACATTTTATTTAGCGAAGTATCAACACCTTTGAAAAATTGCTTAACATTTTATTTAGCGAAGTATACTGTAGATATTCATATTTCGGCTTTACATCACTGTTTTCCGCAACTATAACTGATATGTCTCTATATGAATTATTAAATTTGTTTCCCCGCTGACCACACGTATTTCGGTCTTTTCTTTATTTACTCGCCCGTGATGTATTAACACCCGACTGTTCTGATAGTAAGGATGAAATGTGATCGGTTTCTACAAGTCGTTGTCGGGCACGTGATCATAATCTGGCCGCTGTTGCTTTGATCACTTGACGATCTTTTTCGCTCAAAACACACTACGACTTTCTATTTCAAGGAATGCTTTTCCAACGAATTTCTATCGCGTCCGTGTAAAAAAAATACAAGCATATGCTTGTACTGAAAAACAAAAGGGAAATTCAAAACTACGAGAAATTGCAAGTAATCGGCCTCTTCTGCTACACGCGGGTTTTTTGGTGTAACATGCGTGTGCTTCCCATAAGTTACAAGCACTTTACGCACGTGGGAGTGCTGCAATCACGGTATAAGCAGTGCAAGGTAGAATAGTTTCTGTCAACCTGATCATCACTCTTTGCTATTTCTACCACTTAAATATTAATTCAGAGAAGGGGGGTGAGCGTTAAAACACCTAGAGATAGGCTAACACTGTGCCGCTGGATAGAGTCGCATTTCCACGACTGCATTGACTTTTATGGGGTTACACATTTTTGAGATTTTAGGCGTAAGACAATTATGGCAAGTAAGGATTCATGAACAGGAAGATTCATGATAAAAGAGCTGTTACCGTATTTTAATATTTAATAAACGGCTCCCATTCCTATCCCGTCTCGCCCAAAAGCGGACAAAGACGGGGTCTATAATTGGCCACAACATAGGCTAAAATACGGCAGAGGTTCCAAGAAGCCAGCTGCACATACCCAACGAAAAATGACCCATGTCCCCCCCCCCCAGGGGTACCACATATTCCAGTACTTAAATTTCTATGCTTGCAATGATTTTACTTTCTATCTTTTTTTAAGATAGCAACAAGTATATATCTCTTTAATACTTTATCCACGAGTTGGCCACAGGCGCCCTTTCATTTTAAATGTTTTATTAACTTAGCTACTAAGTATTTTTACAACGTAAAACCATTTTTACGCTTTTTATCGATGCATTTGTGCAAAATAAAATTTGTCAATGGCAAGTACTGTAGTTGACGTGAGAATATTGCTTATTCAATATGTATATAGCGGTAAATACTCACACCCTAGCTGAAAAAGAACACGGCATCTCACTACACCTCAGACGCTTTTTCTCATTGATATTTTTCAGAATTAAAAAATTATAAATTATCACATTTTGAATTCTGTGTACTAAGCAATTTGTTTTCGTTAAAGCAATATAGCTTTAGTAATAAGCATCAAATTTTTAGCTGTGTCGATTTCTATGGAGTAATTGTGTCTAGAAAACCGCATTTCAGTATAGGAAGGCTTCCAATTATGTCTCAAGTAATCTTCTTAGAAATTAATCCTCTTTGTTTTCTTAATCCTTCCCTGGCTGCTTTTTCAACAAGAGATCAACAATGTTAAATGTTACAGCATCAGGGCTCGGGCGGTTTGCCAGAACGGATTGCCTTTGGTTTTTTTAAGAGACAATTCCCGATAACTTTAGAGTGGATAAGTTTCCTCGACGCTGCCGATCAAAGAAAACAGGGATAAATCGATTCTTTAATTGTCATCGCGCAGCCATTATAACATCCAAAGCCTGCATAGAGGTGAACAGTAGCACCAGAGCATTAAACATCCCACTCATTATTGAAGACACTGGTCCTTATCTTTTGCTTTCACGCTAACCTGTTTTCCTGAGAAAGGTATTTTGATTCATACCGATTATGAAACAGTATCGAGCGATTTTCTCAATGACAAAGTTAGCAGGTCTGTGCGAAATAAGAGAAACTTCGCGAAAATTTCCTCGGAAACTAGTACTTAGCTCAAAGAAAACGGAAACCTACCATGTACATTGCCGCTATGTCCTTTCGTGTCTGATGCTCTCTGTTTTAAGTAAAATTTAATCGAACTTCCCCTCGATCCTGCCAAATGCTTTCCTGATTAAATGACAGTTTCATCCACGTCAAAAACATCTCTCTGTAATTTTTTTGTTTTTAGTCTTTTTCGCTCCATGCTAAAACTTATGGAGTTAGCATGCTTTTATCACACAGAGCAAGATGGATAGCTCATAAATAATTATAACTTTGGCCAGAAAAACGTAAAGGGTTGTGGAAATTTGTCTGCATGGGCTTACGTAATAAGGATAAATCAATTTCCCTTAAGAAGCTAATTTTGTTATTAAAAAACCAAAAATTTGCCGATCTTTTATCATTTATATTTCAAATGAGCCAGAGAGATTTTCTTTCTACTAATATAAAAGGAACATTACATTTGATCAAAGCCATGAAACATCCAAAGGGATTTTTACGCAATAGAATTATCGGGTGCCTATCCTCTTTAGCCTTTTTTAGTAATTTTATGGCGATATGTCAATAGAAATATTTAAGTACGAGTATTAATGTGATAAAATAGTTTTTAATCTTCTTGCTATTTGCTTCGTCCCCTTTTTAAAGTCATTTGCATTGAAATGTACATTTAGACATGGTAATCGTTCTCATTGCAAGTCTTCTGATCATCTCATCAATCATTCTATTTATAAAAAAGGATTTTTCGTGCACTTCTCCTAAAACTAAAAATGATTATGTTGGGATGGATAATCTTTTCCTCAAATGAAGAGCTAAAACTATCCATCTCTCTTAGCGATCTGCCTTCAAAATCTCTACGGTCTTGTTTCAATTCAAGATGGCCTTTCCAGAACATCCACAGTTCTACTCACTCCAGACCATCCTGCTAGGAACAAAGACGTAAAATGTTCCTAGAAAAAAGTGATGATCTTCACAGGGCTTGCCGTTGAAAATTATGTTTTGGAACTACTTAAGATTCTCATCACACAATAGACGAGTGCTATTTACTTATACAACATGAGTTTTGAGATAACTACCAAACTCGTTTATTTCATTAGCAATGAATAGAAAATAATAACAGAAAAATAAGGGGAAAAAACACGGATGAATGATATAATCAGTATTCAGAGCCTTTACTTAGATATTTTTATCACAAATGTGTCTTATTTCTTAGGAATATAATTTATTTTCTCCATTTATTCTCATGAGACATTCGTTAGATAACGATGTCTTCATGGTACCCGAGTGTGTCGTCATGGCTCATTTGGTAAAGGTTATTTAAATTTTAAATCAATTTTTGCTTGTGACAGGAAACTTCCTTATTCTTGGGTCAGAGTTGGAGATGTCACTTTCCCGAATTGAGTTTAGGAGCAGGTTGTTTCAAACTTATCTCTGGTTGTATTATCTAAATATCGTTCAGTTTATCATTTATCGCCGATGAACTGAATAGGAATGACAAGAAAATGCATTTCCTCACAAGAATCTCACCAGCATTTATGGAATTGGCTTCTTTTTACATATCCTTAATATATTTCAGAGAAAAAAATACATAAAAAAGGGAATTTAAATTTGCGAGGGAAAGAAATAGATGCTTAATGCGGGGTGCAGGGGATTTTGAATGAAAGGTTACCCGCATCTTCCGACTGTTATCACAATCTCCAAGAACAGTTAAAATTAATAAAAAAATATCAATGCTATTTCAAAAAAAAGGATTTCGTTGTAGTCTAGATTTCTCGCAATTATTTTTTATACCCAGTTGATTTATTTCGATATAGGCCCAACGATCATTTCTGTCGAAAGGAAACAATTCCAGCGGAAAAAGCCAGCGCAAGAGTGTGCCTTTCTCGTCTTTTTCCTTCATTTTTATATGTGACAGTTGCTTGTTGCTAACAAACAACGATTTTAGTTTCCTAGCAATAGGGAATATTTCACGAAGGCTTTTTTTCGGTTGTGCAGTTTTGTACTTGTTTTCTTGTTTTTATATTTATCTTGGTGGTTCGTCTTTAACTGTGTTGACAAGACTCTGACATCTTTAGCCATATTCTTAAAGATGTGCGTTGGATTACGTGGTAATAATAATTCATTTAAAATACCTGCAGTTGCTTGCTTAGTGAATGATAAATAAAAAGCGAAGAAAAAGTACTTGAAACTTTCTTCCCTCTATCTCATTTCCGATTTAGACTAAGTACCTTTCTCCCTCATTTGACTCAAAGCTGTTTTTGAATAAGTCCTGGTTGCACTCATAGGAAATTCAAAGTAATTTGAGTGAAAGAAAGTTGATCCCCCACATCAAATCGGTCACTTAAGTCTCTCGTAACCTTTCTGAGTTCCGACTACAACCTAACTACCTTTGTTTTTACACAAAGATTGCCCGATTTCAGAATTATAGATTTAAAATTTAATTGTATGACATATTTTAAATACGTAAGCGAAGGATCAAGGGAAATATGTATTTGAAATATACGAGAATGATTGTTCCTTGTGATTTTAATTGCAGTCTAGGTAATTAACATCTGACTTCGCGACTTTATATATTGGAAGTGTTATTGCAGGGGAAAGAGATATAGAGAAGAGTTAAATCCAAATTTCGCACTCTGTAGTTCTGTCGAAGATATTAACTATTATGCAACGCTACCGCGGCGATGGAGAGACACCATTTGTTTAGTCAATTGCTTCTTACAGGGGAAGAAGGAAGAGGAAAACAACTCGCCGACAGGATCACTCTCTGTTTGGACTAACACAAAGATTTTTCATTAGCATTATAATGTTTTGTCGACGGATTGCGGTTCAAATTTTTTGTTTTAGCTTAAAACGTCATTTCTTTCGAGATTCTTTCTTCTCTCGTACATAAGATAGACGAAAAACTTACTCAGTTATGATTGGTTAAGATAAATGCAGTTTTCAGAGAATTCAGTGCAGAAGAGGGTTAATTCAGTGCAAAGAAGCAACAAACCAGACTGAATAATTCCTTAAACGTTTAGCCGGACTTTGAACTTTTTTGCCCCTTTAACATGGGAAAATATCTTTGTATATTATTGCTTTAATCGTACTCAGTTGTTTTGACCGAACGCGCGGTTTGAATAAGTTATTTTTGCATTTGATTCGCGCGCTTTGCTTCTGCATATTTATGATACGCTATCTCTTATTTTTTAACGTATATTATTAATACGTAATCACATGACTCTCTCGTGCAGTTTGGAATAAATAAGCACTTGTAAATTTTTTTAAAGACCACAAATTGCACTCGCCCTACGGGCTCGTGCAATTTTGTTAGTCTTCGAAAAATTGACTTGTGCTCATTTATTCCAAATTGCACTCGAAATCATGTGATTACCTATACTACTTGAAGTTACAGGAATCTGCATCTTGATGAAATAAACGTTATGTCATTTCAGAAATTGGTCCTTCTATGAAATTTTTGGAGTATTTTTTCTATATTCCTTCTGTATGGTAACATCATGAAAAGGTCACTTAAAAAATCCTACAGCGTAAATATGTTACAGATGCTTGGGCAAATGGGGCAGATAAGAGTGGTCGGTGGTGTTTATGATTGTAATGAGCGGAGAGTAATTCCTTACAATCATAATCTATCTACTCTACATTACTGATTTGAGAAATTTTGAATATAGAAGTTCGCCGTTTAATTTCTTTTTCTACACACAACTTATTATAATCGCTATTTATGTTTTGCCTGTTGACTCGTTCCGCTTTTCGAGCAAGTTTAAGAATGACATGTTTCGTTTGCTTTGATAATTTTTATCAAGTTTTATACTCGGAAGCTTAAGTTGTTTCTTACCTTTGACACGAGAAATCATAATCCACGAGATGTCTGTTTTACGTAAAACACTTGTTGTTCCGAGCACTGCACTAACGTATTTTGATAATGCAGTTTTACGTGTTGAATCTTTTCACGATTATCATAACAAAGCGGCCGCACCTATAGCAAACCACGTTTTCGCTATTAAGATAGTTTGCAAAACAAAGAAAATCACCTCTGTAACGGAATTGTTATTGATAAACGATAAAAGAGAGTCGTAAAAGGTCCAACAGTGAATCAGCGGAAACCCCAAGTATAAAATATTGAAGCTGTATAATTTCTAAACCTCTCAATCTTAAGTCTCATGCGTATATCCTGAAATTTATAAAGAAAACATTTGTAAATTATTACACTGTCCGGTCAATGGGGATGTTTCCATGACAACTCACTAATATCTTTTTGTAGTTTGCAAATATGTGACAATTAGAATATGTCGATAGCAGAGAAACCATCAGGGTGATGTTCAGAAGAACGTCAAGATAGTTTTGGTTTGATCAACTGAGTCGATGCCTTCCCTAAGGTAGGATGATAAATTATTTCACCTTTAACTTAAATGGGATTGCTGAATTTAACCAGAAGTCGTTCAGAACAGCAATGTAACTTCAAACTAGTTTCTCATGGAACAGGCAGCCTGAGGATTTTTTTTCGATTGGCCATATTATTATTGCAAAAAAGTCGTGCTGAATCAGAGAACCGCTGACACCTGTATTTCGCAAAAGGGAAAATAAAACGTCTCCAGAAATTAAAATAAACGTCTTACGAACTGATGTAATGATGAAAGAGGATAAGTTTTTAAAGAAGCTGTGGTGCTGCGTCGGTGGGGTTATATAACAAGATGACTTTGGCTTTATGGACCAAGTTGATAATGAAAATTGGCCACCGTAAAGAGTTTCAAAGCTGACGTTTCCTGTTTCTCTCTGACGAAGGGCTAACACTCGAAACGTCAGGTTTTAAACTCTTAGATTTACTCTTATATTCTAAACTCTTTACTTTGGCAGATTTTCATAATCAACTTAGTTCGTAAAGCCAAAATTATCTTGTTATACTACCCCACTTCTGGTTAAATTCAGCAATCCCTTTTAAGTTAAAGGTGAAATAATTTATTATCCTCCTCTGAGGAAGGCAGAGGGGAGGCAATCATTTTATAGCGGAGCTCGCAGAGCGTAGCCCCATAATTATACAAAATAGTAGTAACCCATCAAGCCGAAACAATTTGGATGTACGACCGTACGACCGTACAAGGTGCTGCTTTTAACATGCGTGGTCAACTGTACCGCGGGCACGCCAACGCCACGGCTTTGTTCACGACTTTAGTCCAGTGGTCAGTGCACTGGGCTCCGAGTCGGACGACCCAGGTTCTAGTCCTGGCCGGGGAAAGGCGTTGTGCCTTTGAGACGTGCGGGCAAAAAAAAATGCGAGCTCTGATTTTAGGCTTGGCTAAATCTATATATTATTGGTAGGGCAAATAACTTCCTAAAGATCAAAAATCTCAGGCTGCATAAAAAGGATAATCTGGGTACACATCTTGCAAAATTGATAAAGTAAGTAAAGTCAGCAAATGAAGTTAACTTACATCTCGATCGACTTTCAAAATGCAACTTGACTAAAACACTATTAGGTAATGGTAAAAGCCTTGACGAGAAGACCAACTTACGTTTGAAATTGGGTCGCAATAACCGGCATCGTGCTATCATCGAAATCAAGAGAGGACGCAAGGAGTTCTTATTTCTTTACAGTAGTAGCACTTGGACAAAAACTGTAGAGTAAGCTACTAAGCCAACGATAATTTTTTTTTAACTTTTCAAATATATGCATCTTGATATGCTAATTATGATTAAAATAATATGAAACGGAAGATGAACTCGTCTCCAAGGTACTTGCACCTTAGGTAAAAATATATGACAAATTCATCAAAATTCACAGCGAAATTTATGCTTATTATTGCAAGATCTTAGATCCATCGAAAAGTTGGTGTTTCGAAAATAATGAAACAAACTTAAGCAAACTTTAGACATTTTGTTAGTTTATTTCAACCCTGATTGTTAGAATAACATGTATCTATACACATAGAAAACCATACGTCTTTTCGAGACTGGAGACGTCAGAGCCACTATTGAGTTGAACCACTCTAAATGTTGACTACTCCCAACGGTTGTGTTGTTTTTCTTCGCTGTAACTTCCTTTGGATATCACATCAGAAGGTTGAGTCTAAATCAATCGCCAAGTTGGATCTCTACCGTGCTCGGATCCTCGTTCTTCATTGATCCTTCAGGTTGGTTAGAGAGATTATAGAGCTGTTCAAATGGTGAAGAACAATCGGGATCAACATCACCATCGAGGTTTTTCTTTCCCTTATCCTTTCCCAGACAACTAAATCTGAACGTCAACACGCGGGGTAATCTCATTCTACGTATTAAGTTTTTCACTGCTTGTTTAAAATCCGGTCTCATTAGGCTGTATAGCATTGGGTTTATGAAAGATGTGACATATCGCACAATAGCGAACACGTGAGCTGGAACTCGTAGAGATTTCAAATTCAGGGGGATGAGCAGTTGCAACAAAAACCATGGAAACCAGCATATTACAAATAGTAATGCCATGGAAAAAAACAATGTAGCACACTTCCTCTCCCGGGCTATTTTCCTTTTGAGCTTTTTTCTTGTTCTGCTTGTGCCATTTTGTCCCGCTCCCCTTGCAATGGCTCTGAACATTTTAAAAAAGGCATACACCATGATAATGTATGGCACTAAAAACACCACTACAAAACAGCAAGCCACGTATCCTATGACATACTTCATTCCTAGTGGGCTGGGGATTTTGTTTATCCAAGCAAAAGGTATGAACCCAATGACGAATGCAAACAACCACACCATCATCAAAACTTTGATAACTGTTTGCCTTTTCACTAGACGATGAGTTATTGGCCAGATGATTGACAGGTACTTTTCCAAAGTTGCAAAAACTATGTGATAAACTGAAAGAATTGCAGTAACTGTATGAATTACCGGAAGCAGATAACCAAGGTGAAAGCGAACAGTGTTTGATGCAATAAGAGGCGTGAAAACCACCATGATTAACATAGGAATATTCAGTGCTCCAGTTAAGAAGTCTGTGATCGCTAAACTGAAGAGGATCATATTGGCTGGTGTTCGTAGTTTTTCCGAGTTGAGAAACACGACGAAAACTAATGTGTTCATGATAACAATTACCGATGCAATTGGTACCAGTTCTGCAATGGCTGTCACATTTGTCCTCGACAACGGCCCGGGCGCTGTTTGGTTTTCCCGTGATGTGATGTTGTTCATTTCTTGTTGCTATGCCTTGATCTACTAGACTGCAGTTTTTTTTAAGCTAACAAATGCCCTCAGTTCACTCAATGTACTTCTTAATGGAGGATCATCAAACACATTCAGCGAAAAAAACCATGGGCAAATTCTCCAAGATTTTATTATGACTTCGCTTGAGTACAAAAAGGCTTTGTTGGAAACGCTACAAGAGATAAAAATATCATTGAATAAATATATTTGTGTTGAGGAGGGGGAAATAACAATATATCACTCTGCTTTGAAACCCTTAAGTACTTGAAATAAATATTTTTTTCAAAGGTTATGATAATTTTTTCATTACTCAAGAGAAACAAGACTTTTACTTTCAAAGCTGAAACCTAAGAGCTTCCTTTCTCTTTGCTCGATTGTGACGGATTTTCTCTATATTGTGTTTTACCGTGGGTAAATCAAACTGGGGGCATATATTGTGAGAGGAAATAAAAATGGAGCGTTCCAAACAAATTCCCTTTGGATGAATATAATGAACCGTTTGGGAGCCCCCTCCCACGGTACAGCTGCAATACAAATCTGTTCTCTTTCCCCTTACCTTTTTGTCACTGCGGTTAATATCCTAGCGATTGCTATAAGAAATCATAAGAACACTACAGGAATAACTTTAGACGGTTTAGAAACGAAATTTTTGCAGTTTGCTAACGACACAACTGCTGTCCCATCAGATTTGAATTCTGCATGAGCCTTGTTTGCGTTACTTGGACGTTTTAAAAAAGCTTCAATACTTAAACTTAACGTAACAAAAAAAAAGGAGCGATGTGGATTGAGTCCCTTCAGAAATCTGAAAGCGAACCACTAGGTGTTACGTGGAAAACATGTCTCAAATTTTTCATGGATATTTTTCAAATACGACGTACAGCTCTTGATAGAGCAAAACTGCAGGCAGAGGTTGAAAAAAAAATGAAAAAGTGTAAACTTTGACTTACGTAAAACAGTGCTCAATACATAGGAGTAGAGCGATGTAAATACCAGTTCATCCCTACAGACCTGTTTCGTGGTTGCCCACTCATCAGGGGATTTAATGAGAATAATCTTTACGATCGCTTATATACGATATAATCTAATTTATGCAGCGCGAAATTTAACAGTTTAGTTGTTGCGTTGGAGGGATTTGTTTCTGTGGCAGCGGGAAGACACGAGTTCATTACGTTTGTTTAGTGTTGATAGTTCGGGTCGGCAGATGATTTGGAATTTTTCTTTGATGTAGAGATTATATCTTTTACTTGAGCTGTTGTACGGCGAGTGTGATGAGAGAATGCGCCAGGAAATAAAGTGCTCAATGTTGTTGCCTTTGAGGGTCCAGATGTGCTTGCTGAGTTCTCTCTTTAAAGCACACTCGCCGTACAACAGCTCAAGTAAAAGATGTTATTATACATACATATATATATATATACATATATACTAAAACCAATGAAAAACGAAAATCTTCTTTTAACTTTAACTTCGCCTTTGCGCTACGCGTTTCACCGCTGTTGCGGCTCTTCAGGTATAGCAAAGTGTGTTTATAGACTCATATATATAAATGTAAGAAGTATGTGTTTCGATTTTCCGTAGTATAGTGCTCGATAAGTAGGAGAAGAGCGCGATATATATTTGTATGTATGTATATATACATATTTACACCGTTTGCATAAACGTTGAAAATTTAAAAATATATATTTTAAATACATATACCTTTCAAAGTTGCAACGTTTTTGAAAACGGTTATATATATATATATATATATATTTACCGAATTGATGGTGAAGAGATAAACAACAGCCTCTATTTGGCGCAAAAATATGCACGGATATTTGTCCGCGGATATTATCTAGTCCAAGATACGAACAGTTTTCCGAGAGCGAAGCAAAAGCGGCTAGGTAAATATTCACCACTCTTATCGACACTTAAGTGAATAATTGTTTTAGTAAACACCACGCAGAAAACGAAAAAAAGGTGTTTTTTTTTTCACTTTTCGGAAATTAAACGCGATTTGTCTCTTCAACCGCTTGGGAGTGAAAAGTACTTATTAATTTCTTTCCGAAGCGGTTAATCAGCGCGCGGGAAAAGCATTGGTCACATCCGTGATATATATGTGTTTAATTTTTATATTGGCATTGCGTGGGAAAATGAGAAAAAATTGAATTCACGCAAGCGGCACTTTTCTGGCCTAGATTACATGCCATGTTTTTAAACTCGGCAGGGCGGAGGAAATCAAGCTCACGTCTTGTCTTTCAGTCTCCTTGTAGATAATTCTAATATTATAATTATTTTATTAGTATTAACAATCTTATTTTTATCATTGTTGTTATTATACTCCGCTTTATATGATGACTGAAGAGTATTTTTCGTTGGTGATTAAAATGACCTAGTGCAAAGCAGTGGGACTGGAAGTTCGCCGGGCAAAGAGCTCACACACCTGTAGTCGCGCACAGAGTTGCTAATTCCTTGTAATAATAGCTAGAAATTGACTGGTTCTTTTCGAATAGGCTTGCTTCGGCTGAAAAAGCACTTTACGCATACATGCTTGCAAGTATGACTGATCCAGCTTTTTCGGCGGGTATTTGATTTGTGAGTTAGGTAAAGTTTGATATCGAAATTGTCAAATCGGCAGGGAACCAAACACAAATTTTATCGCTTTAGTGCAAAATAATTTTGCCGTTGCGTCCCTTTATTTCTGCGCTTACATCTGAATTTGAACGTGCTATGACTATAGAGGTTGTCAGCTTCGATTAATGCGAGAATGCAGGTGCAGAAGATAAATATGTAATACTCTGGTAATAGTGAACTTTGTTTTGTTAATGAACGTAGTATTTGTGCTTCCACAAATGCCGGTTCGGTACAATTTGGTGGGATGCTTGTGTGATATAAGAACATAACGTAATACTGTATCATATAACTATCTCAAACTAAATAAAGTGAATACCTCAGAAAAATCAATAAATTCTGCCTTTCTTTTTGATTACGAATCTATAAGCTGTAATCAGGCGTCACCAAAGGTTAAAATGTATGACGCCGAAGCAACTCTGTGACGCATACACACAGCGGAAGTATAAAATCCGTGTTATTCAGTCAGTAGAAGAGCGTCGTTCACGGTTGTCAAACGATGTAAATATTGCAAATGCAAGTTATCCACTCGTCTCTTAGGTCCCGTTCAAACGGTCATGATAGTTGATGACATTTTCAACTATCACGCGCGTTTGAACACGAACTATCAGGTATTATCATCGACTATCATCAGCTATCATGTAGTTTGGGCAAGTTCAAATTCGACATGATAGTTGATGATAATTTTTGCGGTTTGAATAAGCGGGTGACAGTGAATAATGATTTTCGGTCCGCAGTTTGCCCTAGTTTGCCAAAAACGGGCTAAAACCAGAATGGCAAATAATAATGACTAAAATAGCCACCAAAATTTTGTATAATGTCTTGTGGTTCATTATCATCATCTCCAGGTAGGCTTGCAAGGTCGGCGAAATTGCTGACCTCAGTGCGCGTCATTTTTCTTTACAATTATGCGATCTCACTGCCTGACTTTGTCATCTGTCATGATCGTTTGAATGGGGCTTTAGTAAAGGGAGGTGTTCAGAACAACTTTATGAACTAAGATAGAGAGGGGGGAGGTAATTTTCAACCAGGCAACACATAATATGAAGTTGAAAGCCTCATCAACACAGCTCCATGACTTTGAAATTCGAAATTGTTTCAAGGCTTCGTAGATATTTCGACAGAATACAATAGTATGCATAATTTAAAAATCTCAAACTTACCGGAAACTTTAAAAGCAGTTTGAAAGATGGACGGTTTGGTCTTCAGGAGTTGAACTTCTGCGACAGCTGAATTTAATCAATCAAACTTTGCTTACGGTAATTTGTTTTGCTGTCCTTATTCGTCTTCATTTGCATTTAAACACAATTTAAACTGACAGGTGATCAAGTAACCATCGATTGATAAATTAAACATCATACGCGTAAGTTCAACACAAAACGTTGATAAACACATTGGTAAACAGCGAACAATCACACTTCACTGTTTCACGGGTATGTTATAGTTAGAGGCACAAATAATAATTCATACCTTAGAGCAATCAATACGACAAAAGTTACCGGCGTGTCTGCGTGTTAATAATTAATGGGCAATATCTGCACGTAATGGTGAGTCATGAAGCAATAAACAAAGGAAAAGGAAGGAAAAGAGGAAACGGAAATATTTTGATTCGGCAAAGGTGAACTTAAATAGACACCTAGATCAATATTAAAGTGATGTTATGACAGTCAAAATCAACCATAGGCTCTCGTTTATGAGATCACGAAGAATCTGGAAGATTAACGTGGATTTGTTTAATTACGTCCGACATTATTTTGAGGCCTTTGCACAGTCAATATTCATTAAGATTACCGTTCTCGCGGTTTGGCATTGCATACTATGAACACCATGTTCTTATAAGGTACAGGAATGTCTTTTCAAGAGAAAAAAACAATTCACTTAGTTCATGGAGTGGTGATAAGCTTTCAATCAATATGTAAATCTATTATTCATCTACATGCTATTGGCAATGTTTGCACCATTTTCGATTACAAGGTGATGTGAACTCCCCCGTTTATATTCATTTGCTGTACCCCTATATCATAAAAATATTTGTGGTAGCACTAAATAGTCAGTTTCTAAAGCTGGAGACAATAAAATAAACATTTCCAACTACAGTCAGTATCGCGAGAGAAACAGAGTCTGATAGTCTCGATATGCGAAAAAAATTTAGGTAGTGATATTCGATATCATGTTGATGATTGATGGCAATAGTTTGCACCAGTTTCGACTTAAAGGAGATTCGATCTCCCCAAGTTGATTCGATTACGGCAACCAGCAAAGAGGCATCTACAGGAAAGAAAGGATATCTGTTACAAAGCAAACACTCACTTTCTATTTCTGTCGATGAAATTTGGGTGAAATTAAAATGTAGCCATCATATGCTCCGTGACTCAGGCGGCAAAGAATCAAAGGCGAACTAGCGCCCTTATGACTTCACAGTCGCCCGAATTGCAGCAGCAATGAGCCCATTTGCCGCCATTTTAAAGAAAAGGATTATATAACCATGAAAGGGAATCTTTCATTGGTTGACTTTTTTTGGTGTTGATAGAGCAACATAATACCAAATCCGCTGTAGCTCATTTACACCGTAAATGGTGCATTTTGTATAAAAAGAAGGTAAGTAAAGGATAAATAGAAGAAAAGCATTCAACATCATAAAGTAGATTACACTGAAGTGACCATGAACTCCAAATGTGGGGAGATTTGGCTGGTAGAATTTTGTGAAAAACTACATTTGAATCATATTTGATTGCCTTTTTTTTTTTTTGATCTATGATTTTTATAATAATTCTCGGAAAAGGCAATGAGGTTCTCTATATTTAAACTGTTGGTTGTTTAGATTTTGGATTTCACATTCGAACCATTTTATTTTTATCAATTCCTTTTATATCATGGCTTATTTACTTAAATACTGAAGTAAGTGTTTTAATGGCTTCACAAGTATGCACGTTTTGCTTACGAAATCCATGGTGAGTTTCTATTATCAAAATATGTTTCAATAACTTCAGTTTTCTTTTTCTACAGCATTATAAGCAAAACGTATTTTGGTTATCTCATTAATGGTTGCTAGATAAAATACAACAGGAACAGTAACAAGGCAAGCAGGCAATAAAAAGACACTTCTTTTGATTCAATTAATTGAATGTGTGAGTAACATCTGATACTGTCAAATGCCAAGTGATTGAAATCTTCAATTAAATCTAGAATGTCAGTTGTCTGAGGTAATTGAAACCCCAGTCCATTAAAAAGACTGTACCTTAATTCAACTAAACAAAAATGTATCAAATATATGTAACATTTAAATATACATTACAAAAATGTAGTTTTGTCTGGCAGAACTAATGTAATTTCAGTAGCAGCAAGTGGTAAAGGAAGTAGAATTATTTCTTGTCTGTGTAAAAGTATAACGTATTTTTTGGGAGGAGTAAGGGACATATAAAGTTCATCAATTGTTTTGTACTCCTCCTGGCTTTCAAACTTTTATTTTCACTTTTCACCATATTTCACTCCGTGTGCAACTACGTTTGGATGGAAAATCTCCTTGATGTAGTTCACCACATGATTTCGATCGCAATTTGGTATAAATCAGGAAGAGCAAATTTTTAAAAAGGGTAACCAAATTGCACAATCCCGTAGGGCGAGTGCAATTTGTAGTCCTTGAAAAAATTATAAGAGGAGGTGACTTATCCCAAACTGCATGAATACTTAAAGTGCCTTTGAAACGATTTTTTTTCGCGTAATTATTTAGCTTATCATATTTAAAAACCAATTTCGATAGCAGATAAATTTTAAAACAAATTAAAAGTCGGTTTTTTCGGGTACTAAAAATTGCTCTTAAAATTGTCCCGTAGACTGGTAACGAGTTAACAGGCGATGACGTAGAAAACTTTAAAACCACTCTGTTGGTTCCTTCAAATCTCTCCCATCTCTAGTCATTTTGTATTGTCAGCGTTGGAATAATTTTGGAATAATTTTGGAATAATGTCCGATAGCGATGACCACCTACCTACAGCAAGCTCTACCAATAGTTCTGATACATCGTACCCAAGTAATTGAGAAGAAATGGAAGTTGTGAGTAAGGTTCAGCCTCTCGATGGAGAACTGCGTCAAACGTAGATTTCGACAAAGACTGACAAAGACGGTCTCTCGCCTGCGAGATTAAAACAGAAAACTCCCGTTACTGAGTTTTTACTTCGTTGCGTTTGTGTTTTGTTTTCTGTGGCAAAATCTTATTAAGATTGGGTAGATGTGTTCGTTTCTGTTGCCATATCATATTATTCCTTCGCATTAACGGGCGACGGTTCCCCTTGGTCAGTGCTCAAATAGCAAATAACTTCCTCAGCAAAAATTGTAACGAAAACAAACGAGAAGTAGCCCATACAAGATGAAGGCTCAAGCTATAAAGAGATACTGAATGAAGATTTTGGAAAACGGTGAGAAAACGCGATTTTTATGGCTGGAATTGGCTTACCACTGCGATTACGATCCGATAATCTGTATGGAAGTTTTTAAGGTCTGCAAGCCTAGGAGCCAACTTGGATATTTTCCAGAGGTTGTTCAGCGAAATAAAGTTAAGTTGTAGACCTATAAACTTAACTTTAAATTGCAAACGACATCGTGCTACTGCATCACGACAATAGCGGAAAAATCGAAAGTCGAAAGACAACAACATCGAGCCGTGTGCACTGATTCAAACACCATCCAGCTGTTTTGTTTACCCGTAGAACAATTATTTTTTTCAAACAAATTTGTATCAACTGCCTCAGCTTAAATTAAAGCTTACTTGGAGTCCTCGTTAAAACTTAAAGAAAGTACCTAAAACGCTAAAACTTGACAAAAACCATCAAATGGAAGCTGAAGTCGGGGGCCGCAAACAGAACTGCCATAAATCTTGAGTGTATATTCACTTTGCAAGTGGTTTTGTTCTTATGAAAAAAAAAAATTCAAAAAATATCTTAATGAAAATCTAGTCTGCGTTGTTGCTACAACTAGTAGTTTGGCGAATTCTAGTCGAGAATTCCTGAAGTTCTTTCACTTTAACCGCGCGGCGAAAAATAAAGGCTTTAAACGGAATAACCAGGAAGTTAAACTTGATTTTAAATAGAAAATTGTTGATGCTGGAAAAATAAAATGTTTTAAGTTGCTTTTGGCGTTCAACTGCCTCAGTTCAAAGTTTCCTCTTCGTTTCCTCCAAACAAAGGGTCCTTCACAAATCAAATTTCGCCCCGCGTGGCGCCATTTGATAGGATGAGCAGATATTTCAGTCTTCTATGGGTATTTATAATAAAGTTCGGATATAACGCGCGCTGTCATTGGTTGAAAAAGCGTGCTCTATGAGAGTATAGAGCATAGAGCTGAGCTAAAGCTGTCACGCCATCTGCCAAATTGTACCATGTTCGACCTTTTCCGGGACTTCTTTTTAGCTTTATTCCGATAATTGAAAGTGAAATTTCGGAACAAGCGAGCCGGCAATTAGGAGAAAAATCAAATAAAGGTTTGTTACTAAAACGTGAGCAGATATGAAAATCCGCAAAGGAAAAACAAAATAGACATTCCGAGTTTTAAAGATTGATTCACGCTCAGTTAGATTGCAAGCTTACGTACGAAAATAAAAATCAAACACAGCTAACATTCATATAGTATATAAAGTTCAGTGTTCAAAAACAAAACCGAACAAAACAGAAATGATGAAAAATATAACCAAACTGGCATAACTGTGAAAATTCATTCTAATCATGACGGTTTCTAAGCGAATATGATCATGCTGAAGTCCATCGCGGCTCGCTCATCATGGCGATCTCCAGTCATCACAGTAAAGCAAGCCTCAGAAACTACATCGGCTGCCCTTCGAGTGAAAAAAATAAGAGCCTGTTCTGATATCCTTTCCGATGCGTTGAGAGGAAAGTCACATCTGTCACTGCAGCCGAGTTTTGCCGCGCTATCATCCCGAGCGATCTTCATGTTCCGGTGAATTCGGCTGTCGTTCATTCAAAAAACACTCGCCTTGAACAGTTTGTTTTCTATCTTGTCATGTGAAAAAACTCGCGTGTTTTTATGAGCCATAATTCGGCTGAAGTTCACTGAACATTTCACTTCAAGATTCTGTATTAGAGACTTAAAAACTTCAGGCAAAACTGTTAAATTCGACCTGCCGAACTATTTTAGTTTGTAAACTATCGCAGAAGGTGAACTTTGATGGTTTTTGAACTTTGATGGTTTGACACTTTCGACAGCTTTAGTCTTGTACAGCCAATCAGATTATTTGAACCATTCTAACAGGGATTCAGATTGGCTTATTGTAGCGTGCTTTATGAGAGTATAGAGCATGCTGACGACACTGTTGTTCGCTTTGGAAATAAAGTTTGTTTTGAAAATTGAAAGTAATGCTTGGGTAATTTAACGGATTCTTTATTATAAAACAAATAGACTACGTCTCGTGTTTCTCCCTACACTTCTTTCGTGCTCTAGCCGCTTCCTAAGTGCTTTATAACAGAACAGAGCACAGTCAAGGCTTCTCTATTTGTTAAATAGGTATATACTGGGTATATATGGGTATACACTGTGAATTTTTTACAGATCAAAGAGCGGTTTTTGTCAAAGTTAGGTTATAATTGCTATTGAATGATATACATGCGAAAATTTGATTGTTTTCCTCGCAATCGTGTTTATTTCATGTCGTGGTTCACTGGCTCAGCCGTTAGCCTTTGTGTTGTTGCCTGGTAGTAAAGGTTCTCCCGCAAGAAGTTGCTTCGAGTTTTTTAACTTCTGTCAGGAAAAATCGAGTGTTTCCACTCGTTCTCAGTGACGTATTGCCTAGTACACGAAAGCTATCACGCTTATAATCTTCCTCGTCTTTCGTAACAATTGTTGCATACACTCCCCGAAAATTTTGTTTAGGGCCTCCGGTTCGTATGTCTCCATACTTCTGTCATAACCGTTTTTGGAAGCCAAGACTTCAGAATTTCAGCCGGCTTTTTTGCTTTGTTAGGTGTTTGTTCTTCAAACTTTGAATTAAAACGTTATTACTTTCTCTTAATCTGTCCGCAATTTTACTTTCTTGTGCTTTCACGACTTTCTTTTCAATTTAATTTCAACTTTCTGCACGCAAATTCAACTATCTGTTCTGTATGGAATAAATACATGTCCTTAGCCAATGAGCACGCTATAACGTTTGCATGAAAATTATTATGTAAAATAAGAAAGCACGCCTTTTAGTTTGAAGGAAAGTTGTTCGCTTTTTATGTTTCCCCTAACCCCTTCTCTTCGTAAAATGATGACTAGTCCCTAAATTGGTGTAAAGAAACGCTTCGATCCCTTGATACAGTGAATAAAATTCATGATTACGTAAATAGATATTATTGTGGCGCTTGGAAAGGTAAAAGAAATGCATGAATACAAAGAACGCTTAATTACATAGGGAGTCTTTTCGGAAAGCTCCATAGTAACCAAAAACAAAACAAAACAAAAGACAAAACGAAACGAAACAAAAATAAAAGTTATAGGATAAAGAGGCTCATAAAGTATTGAACGTTTTTGGCTTGAGGGGTAAATGTGTATCTTTTGTCAGCTGTTTTCCCTCAGGCTTCTTTCTCGAACAAGACCCGAATCGAATCATAGAATCAAGTAATGTTTAGGGATTATCACAATGTACATGTCCTTCATGCCGTTCGGTTTAGTCCTAGGACAAACCGATGTTCGACTCTCGTATTAGGTTACCGGTCATTGTTGAGTACAAAAAGTGTGCCTGAAATCATCGATTAGATAAAGAACCCAAAGTTATAGCCAAAAACATATTAACCTTTACAGTCTGAAAATGGAATTAAATTTAACAAATGCGATGCCATTTAGTTTTTTCGATTATTCGTTCAAAATAATGTCTTCAATAGAAATGATTTTCGCAGAGTGGGGTAAAGCGTGAAACTGAAGACAAAAATTTTCAGTTTCAACATCAAAAAGAACTGATCTGCTGAAGAAAGTCGTTTTCCTATCTATAGCGAATTAATTCTCACCGTGCTGGTCTCCTTCAGCATGAAAGTTTTTTCGTGGGGTCAGTATAAGTCGGAAAGATGTAGTTCGGTTGCTGTGGATTAGGCAGCAGCGTTAAGCTTTTGTTTCTATTGCAGGTGGTGATTATCATTTCCTTCACTTTTATTTCATGCATTAAAAAACAAGAATATGTTTAAGTCGTATTCAAGTGGTAATTAATGACAATTAACTGCACCTCAAATTGATGTGAGTGTTTTGATCGCAATTGAAGTATCTCAGTGATGTGATGGTGAAAAATAGATGTTAAAAGACAAAACAAAACTCAATAACATTTATGAAAAGTTTGCTTGGGATCGAAAGTTTGAAGTAGTTTTTCATAGAACATACAGTAGCGTGAATAACTATCCGATCCTGCCTTACAGTTTGTTTTCTTACAAGGGCTGGTGAGTACATTTCCTGGCGTCTTTCCTAAGCCAAAATTGTGGTTGATGGTTAACGATATCCAAAGAAAACGACTTCAAGATAATAGAGGACTACTAAGCTTAGCCTTCACTTTAATATGTGACCTGAATGGAAGTAAATTATTTTGTGTGTACTTAGTTTCCAAGAAACCGAAAAGTGACAAGAGTTCCATTACTTTCGTTGCCAACCTTGTCACCTTTCATATTCAAATCCCGTCAGTTGCCTGTTAACTAGTTTCTTATCTCAATATAATCATCCAAAGGTCAGCTCATACAACTGTTAATTAGACGATCAAACAATGGCTTATGAACCACTGACTATAATTAGACGATCAAACAATGGCTTATGAACCACTGACTATAATTAGACGATCAAACAATGGCTTATGAACCACTGATTATATTTAAGGAGAATCCGGCAAAAGTCAAGAATCTTCATACATAAGTGATAACCCCTTCTGTAAACAATTTATTTTCAGGGCGACTGATCGAACGATCAAATTCAACCTGACCATGAAAACATCATATTCCACTTTCGGAACAACATTTCTGCATCGAGAAAGGTAACGAACACAAGGTAACAAGTTACCATATGGAACATAAATTAACAAACAGATCTTCGTCAACCAAAGGACGCTTTATTGTCAACAACTGTCGATCGCGGACGTTACAATAGGGCAAATCGTGAATTCGCGTTACAGTCAAAACACTAATTTCTTGGATTTTCTTCTCAAGTAGTTTCCTTTTTTTCAGCTATTTATTTGTTTCCAAGTACAATGTTACATAATTTACAAACAAAAAGAGAATTTTGCAACTTAATGCATTGGCTCTCATACAACCTGGAGAGCTACGTATGAAACAAAACAGCTCTCTAAATACAATACCACCACTAGTGATATAATAAAACATTACCAATGCCTTAAAAAAAGGAGAAAAAACTCTAGAAAAAAAAAAGGGAAGAAAAAGAAATTACGTTTCATTTTCTTCTTATCCCTTTAGTTGTTCCAAAGAAATCAAAACAGTCTGTCCTTAATTGAAGCAAGTGTTTATCTAGGAGCAGTCACGTTTGAAACCACGTAAATCGAGGCATGGGTAAAATCTGGACTGAACCACTGGACCATTGGACTATTTTTTGGACCACGCATATCTGGACCTTTTTTTTTTTGGAACTTTTTTTTTTGGACCATTTTTTTACCATTGTTTCGACCATTTTATCGACGATCAAGGGGAGGGGGAGACAAAATATTAGTACTCAGGGAGGGGTGGGATGCAGTCTTTCAGTACTCAGGGAGTGCTGAAAAACTTGAATTTCTTCGAAAAACATAAATTCCCCTCTACTTAGAGTGAAATTCCCTGGCCTTGAGGAACCCTTTTTTCGACAATGTTTAAAAGCATCGGTGCATTAAAAACATTGTCAAAACACAAAATGGCGGTTGGCAACTGAATAAGTCATAAATCAAGACCACTCATGCACTTTTTTTCCTGCAGTTGGCATCACGATAATTAACAGTTGCATCGAAAGAAAATAGATTGAAGATCAGCTCCATAATTTTTTTGACTCCGCAAAATTTATTTACTTACCTGAACTTAAAGGCAAAGAAAGTTAAAAAACATACCTCAATCGAACGTGCCATTTCAAATGTCCTGTTACGTTTGTGCCCTAAATTTTGCCTTTATTACTCCTTGATGACCCTCATCTTGAGTACACGCGAAGAACACCATCTGTTCAGATTCTCATTAGCATTATTGGAACATATATACGCCGAGCGATAACAAATAAACAGCAAACATTTCACCGGAAATCTATGATTTCCGATATGGTCGTCATGTTGTGACGTCAAGTGGTTATCAAAACAGTACAGCTTCAACGCTAAACAATTTTTTTAATAACAGATTTGCATTTTATGGCTTAATAGGGCAATTTCTCTTTCACATAGCCGATGTGTTAATTTATTTAAACTGCACAATTACAAACTACCCAATTACCTTTTTCAAAAAATTACAGATTTCAACTCACAAATTACGTATTTCCCTTTCGCAAATTACCGATTTTGAGAAAAAATTGTGATTTAAAAACGTTTCTAAAATGGTCAAACTAGCTCAGGGTTATGGTTTCATCGGACAAAAAGCATAACCAGTTTATATAACTTAAGTGGTTAAATAGTCAAACTAGCAAGGAGACAGTTAAACTGAAAAGTTGCAAAAAGTGGAACAGTCAAACGGCACAAGATGCAGAAAGTAGCTGAGTTGGCTCAATTAACTTATATGGACAAAATCCACCAACAAGCTAAAGTGGGTCAAACAATGGCTTGTTTGGCTTGTTTGCCACTGAATTACGCTCTTTTCAAAACTCAAAAAATTTTGTCTGCTAATCACGCTGACTTTAACTTAACTCACTTAATACAACGTTTCTGCGATTTTTGTGGCCAAATTACCCTTTTCTCGGCTTTTTCGCACCGAAAACATATTTTGGTTTGTTTGCAGCTAAATTGGGCTGTTCTGGGATTTATGTCACAAAAAGCAACGTTTTACTCTCTTTGTTGCGAAACTACGCTGCTTTTAGCTTTATGACACCGAAAAGATGTTTCCGTTTGTTTGTCGCTAAATTTACACTGTTTTCAGCTTTATCTCACTGAAGACTAAGTATTAAGCCTCTATGTAGCTAAATTACGTCTCTTTTAGATTTATCTCACTGAAAACGTTTTTTCGCTTGTTTGCCGCTGAATTGAGCTGCTTTTAGCTTTATCATACCCAAAAAAGGTTTTCTGCCTGTTTCAGCTAATCCCCTTTAGGTTAGCCATCCACCGTTTTTCCGTTTTCGCTGCTAAAGTAAGCTGTTTTTAGCTTTGTCGAACCAAAAACGTTTTTTTTTGCTTGTTTACTCTTGAGTTACGCTCTTTTTGGCTTAAGTGCACTGAAAAAAGGTTTTTGCATCTTGCTAACTAATCACGCTGGTTTCAGCTTTATCTCACTTGAAAAAACGTTTTCGCTTATGTGTCGCTAAACTACCTCGAAATATCTTCAGATCTGACAGACTGATTTGTGGGTAAAGAATGTTAAAGGTCTACTAAAGAACAGTGAGCAAAGATGCATAAAGAATGTTTCAGACGCGTAAAGTGTTAAAAGCGAAACTGGTCAAAATACCTTGGTAATTTTACAGAAGATGGATGAGCCATAATTTATATTAAAGTTTTTCTGACAAGGTGTAAAAAAAAAAAAAAAAGGCCGCTAATTAGTGATCATATAAAAGGACCTCTTGTTGCAGCGTTTAGATCACCCCTGATGAAGGCACTAGACAGGAGTGTCGAAACGTTGGGTCTATGAATTGTAACTTCTTCGGTTACATTCATTAAATCTGCAAACCAGTGTAGCATCAAACTATGTCTGAGCCATAATTATTTCACTTCTTTGAGTATTTCTCTAAATAGAAAGATGTTCATTATATCCATCTTGATCCTTATCCTTTAAGAACATTCAATATTCTTGAATGAAAGTGATCTTCGCAGTGATATGCACTACTTAGGCAGTAGTGAAAATAAGGCCTGAAAAAAATTCAGGCCTGTACGGGATTTGAACCCATGACCTCTGCGATACCGGTGCAGCGCTCTACCAACTGAGCTAACAAGCCAACTGGGAGCTGGTCATGATGGTGGTTCTAAATAAACCCGTGAAGTGATGATTAGACGGTTAAGAATATATGAAGGTCATATATTTGAACTGCGGATAAAGACATGAATGAAAGTGATCTTCGCAGTGATATGCACTACTTTGGGCGATTTCAAAATGGATGTAATAAAGTGGTAATTGAACCTCGTATCGTGCAATTTTGGTCTGAAATCATACTTGTGATTTCAAATCGAACTCACGCTGCGCGCTAGTTCGATTTTGAAGTCACACGAATGATTTCAGCCCAAATTTCACTCCACTCAGTTCAATTACCATTATTTATATCACAGGAAAACGTTTCTAAATTACAATTTTTCATTTCGTTTTGTACTGCAAATGACAGTAAGCCCTCACAGAGAAAACAACGGCGAGACTTCTAACTTTCGCAATGACATGAGACAAAATGAAATCACTTTCGAATTTCTGAATCAATTTGATAAGATCAAATATCACGCAAAAAGAAAAAAACAGAATATTAAAAATGAATTTTAAGTGAGTGAGCTGTGGGGAAATGGGAAAAATGACTTTTTTGTCCTTTATTGTTAAACAAAGGGAAACGTGAAGCAACTGGTAAATGAATTGTAACAACCAGTGAGTATCGTTTAGCACTGGCACAAGTCGACTTAAAAGAATCACACGTGACTCAAGGATAGATAAAGGAAGTCGGCGTTAACGTTAACCAGAAAATGGTCCAAAAAATAGTCCAATAGTCCACGCGTCCGATGGTCCACTCCATACTTCATCCTATGCCCATAAATCAAGTTGGAGAGCCCCATAGATTCAATGATTAAAACCTTCCTATAGTGATAAATCCGAATCTTCTTTGGGAGGAAGAGTGGTAATTCCTTTTGGTAGAGAAATGGAGAGTTTTCCATGCTAGTATCATCTAATGTTATCACTTAGTAATAATCGTATAATTCAATTTTTTGTTGCAAGGCGGCTATCAATGAACTATCTATCTTACATGTAAGTAAGTCTATTCTTATTTTGTCAAAAAATTATCCTAGAATTCAGTCGTAAACCTTTCTACTTCTTTTTATTCAAGGAAGAATAAACTAACGAGTAACATCAAATTCTCTTACGCTGTGTGCGGGGTTTACCGTAATCAAATGAATTGTTAATAACATGAGTGTTGCATCTCATTACACAATATAGCCGCTTGTAATACAGATCGCGCCGTTCGACTGTATGCTGCTAGCCTTTATCTGGCTTCGAGATTGGCAGGTTACGCGTCACCCGAAAGGCACGACAGTTGTGATTGGCAAATTTTTCATCCTTGCTATTTCAGTGAGTGGTTTTCTCTGGGGTCCGTAACGGAAGATTTATTTTATTATTAAAATAAATATTATTATATTATTTTATAATAATACTTTATTGCTCTAAACAACTAAAACAAATTTACAGCTGAATTGTTTTGACTGTCTACATAGCCATTTTACAGCTGAATGACTGAATGAAAAATTTGCATGCACGTAACATTCAGCTGGTTGAATCAAGCATGAATCCGCTCTCACGTGAAACATATAATATCTATATATTTATTACTAACTATAGTTTACACTTGGAGGAATCTCAGGTCTACTTGGATGCAACTGGACACCATCATTGACCTTAGAATAAATGTTTGGCAGGGTAATTAAAAGTGAAATACATAGTTAAGCACAAACAAGTGGTAATGCTAATTACTTTCATTATAAACGCTGTTCTGACTATACTACTGAATTGTCGTAGTGTTGCCTACATCTCTTGGCCAGCATACGTCGTTCACACAGACGAAACATAGTGAACATAACTATTTGATACAGAATTTGTATCATTCCCTCGTCCTACCACATATATAGCTTTTTTGTTCTTTTTTGTTCCATTGTTCTCCCTCAGCCGAAAAGAACGCCTTCGCCATTTCATAATCGTTGCCCTTGCATTGAAAGAAGGTTTACAAACAATTTTGTTCCATACCGTCTCTTTAAAAGCCTGACGAAAGTCCAGTTTAAAGAATGTATAAAGCAATGGGTTTATGATAGAGGTGACATATCTAAATGGTATAAACCATTCCATGAAGTATTCTAGGTTCTCTATTTGCACTCGTAGATTGACTAGGAACGTGAGCATGAACCATGGAAGCCAACAAACCGCGAAGACCGTGGCCATCACAGCAAAAATAATGGATACACGACGTTTGTTTTTTGTAACTTCCATGTTACGACTATTTCGTCTGAGCAGCGTTGAATCTTTCTGTTTGGTTTTTTCAGATATGATTCTGAACATCACCACTAACGCGTACACCATAAAGAGATATGAAAAGAGGAAAACAAACACGAGGCAACATATCCCATAGCCCACCATTAACTTTCTTCCAATAGGTTTTTGACTAACGTTTATCCATGAAACTGGAATTAAGGCGATGACAAAAGATAACAGCCAGACGACTGCCAACGACGCTGACATCTTTTTCTTGGTGAGCAAACGATGTTTCAGAGGCCACTTAATGGCAAAATACTTGTCAGTTATCACGAGTAAAATGTGGTATACAGTCGCCGTGGAAGTAAAAGCATGAGTAACCAACATAGAGTAACTCAAATTTGATATCAACCCTCTGGGGTTGTCAATTTCCATCGTTGGGATAAGCATGAATATGATTAGCAAGGGTATGTTGACAAATCCTGTGACAAAGTCACATACGGCAAGACTAAGTAAAGGAAAATTTGATAAGGTTTGTAGGTGTCGCCTTTTCCAAAAAAGAACAACCACTAACAGGTTTGTTGCCACAATAGCCATCGATAGCGGGACCAGTTTAGCGACTTCATTGTATGCAAGCTCTTTCTGGGCGGAATTAGTACTGCTGTCTGACATAGTACCGGGCTTGGAACGTCACTTGAATGGCCTCGTTGACATTGAATTATTTGCAGATTATTCGACACTTTTCTGTCATAGAAAATGCTCAGAGATCATGAGGCCGTGGAGTGTTCATGTTTGATAATATGAAAAGTATGCCGAAATGAACAATGACCTAACGTTCCATACAATAAGAGGCGATGATTTATTGTCTAAACAATTATTCCTTTACAAAGTAAACGGCTGGTGTACAATTGCCCTATAGTCAACAGTATTTGTTGCACAAACAAAAAGAACGCTATTGAGACTAGCCGGCCAAACCGTATTGCACATATGATCACTATGTTTCCCACATAGAAACGAAACCAGCCTTAGGATGTTAACTTTGTTATTTTAAAAGTGCTTTAATGGGTCAGTAAGCATGGACCAATATCACATTTTTATTTGCAAAAGCTCCATATTGTGGTTTTCATGTCGAGAGGTTTATTTTGAAGCTTTCTCGATTTTCTAAGGGTGGCTTAAAGTACGGTCTAGAAAAAGTTTATCACAGTCAGAAGAACTCTACCTCAGGAGTTCTAAAGGAACCATCGTTTTGTCCAGTTTGCCTTGCAATTACAACAAGAGCACCCTGAAATTGTCCTCATTTACGACTTTCGCAGCTGGAAGCACGCCATCTTGTATATGACGTCAACTATGATGTAGCAATAGTCAAACTGTCCTGGTTGACTTGTTTGACCTTTGTGACAAGAATTTCGAACAGCTGAACTATAGTAAATTGTCTTATTGTTGAATTTCAAAATACATATTAAAATACAAAAGAAAAAGGTGTATGCTTCCACAAGAAAATAACACGTGAGAAGGACTTGCCAAACCCTGCGAAACCTGAGAACTACCAAAACGAAGACATCAAGTCGTCCTTGTTGACCTTCGCTTCAAACTGAGAGCTATGTTAGTAAAAGTAATCACATGATTTCGAGAGCAATTTGGAATAAATAAGCATGAGTAAATTTTTTCAAAGACCGACAAAATTACTCGAGCCCGTAGGGCGAGTGCAATTTGTGGTCTTTGAAAAAATTAACATGTGCTTATTTATTGCAAATTGCACGAGAAAAATCATGTGATTACTTGTTAATAATATATATATATATATATATAAAATACGAGATAGCCTATCATAATTATGCGAAGCAAAGTGCGCACGTCAAAAGCAAAAATAATTTATTTAAACCCTGCAAGTGACTTTGTGTGTTCGGTCAAAACAACCGCGTACGATCAAAACAATAATAATACAATAATATTTTCTCATCTTTAAGGCGCAAAAAAGTCAAAATAATAATAACGGAGCGCGCACAGCGTTGCCCCATAATTATACGAAATAGTAGTAGAGAAAATTAGAGAGAAATGGTAGTAGTAGGGAAATAGAGGGTTTTGATTAAAAATATGGTGAAGAGAAGGAGACCGGCGACCAAAAGAAAACAACAAGTAAAAGACGTAAAGCGAGTCGAGAAAAACGTGCAAGAAAGTTAGAGAGGACACCAAAATAGGCAGAATACGGCGAAAGGAACGCGAAAGAGAACAAGAAAAGACATAAGTATAAAGGCGAATATCTAGCGAAGAGCAACGCGAGAAGGAAATACAGAAATACGCTCCTGAAAACAGACTGAGAAGAGGTCATCAACAAAGAGAAGCGAACTACAAAGGATCCGAAAAAGAAGAAGAGGTAAGTCGTGTCTTATCTAGGTTTTCTCCTACGCTAAGGCCCAGAAAAATTCAAACCTTTTTTAACAATCGTCGTTTGATACTAGCTTCAGTTTATAATTAAAATCACGTTTCGATAAAACAACGACTTAAGCCTTCATCGCCCAAAAGCTTCGCGCCGGTTCATCGCTCGAATAACATTTCAAAGTGTTCGAATTCTTCAAGGTATTTCTTGTCCTGTCGTTTGGAGTGTTTTATACGGTCGTGGTGTTCATGGAAAAGAAGTTATCTTACGGATTTTGTTTTGCCTAGAAAGCTTTCAAATGATTGCGAACGACGAGCGCAAGTTTTTACCTCTTTCTCTCTTTAGTCAACTATCGCAAGATTTACTCTATTCTTATAAAAAATCGCGCTTTGTCGGAGAAGTGTTGTTTTAGCTTAGGAACGAAGTGATAGTCTTTCCCAAAATTGAAATAAAGTGAGATTGAGTCAGCGATGTCCATGTTTACACTAAGTCTGACGCGGTAATTTTATTTTGATAATATTGTTATGAGAACCCGTCAAATATCTGAGAATTAAATTACGGACCGCAAATGTGTGGTGCAAACAAACTCACGGGTGAAATAGAGTCAGTCCTACTGCGGAATGAGTGAATTTCATTGTTTAGTCATGATACTTTTCAGCGCTATGTTTTCATGCTTTCTACTCGATTCGTTCGAACTTCAGGAAATGGTTTCAATTGTCTCACAAAACATGGAGCCACTTTCTCTTTTCTCAACATCTTGAAGCGTACTTACTGCTCGGGTCATGATGAACATGCATGCGATAAGATATTTTTCACCTAATGTTGGAAACTGAAGAATCAATCTCTGAAACCGATAGTCATCAAATTTTGCAAGAAGCGTCTAAGCTGTGGTCGTGTAATGAAACGAGGTCTTGGCAATTTGAGCTCACAAGCACGCTGATAAGCACATGATTAGCGTAAATAGCTGTTGTTTACAGTTTTTTAATTCGAGAGCAGTTTTTGAGGGTCCGTTTCAGTAACCTTCTTGGATATTTTCTGTTGAATTCATTGGGGTACAATCTCGGAATTTCAAAAGTGATTATGAACGATAAATTCGTATCAGCACCATAATTTAAGGAGGTTTTGTTAACACATTATCAGTTAACAATTTGCGAACCATTTCTGTAACCTGATTGGATATTTTCTTTAGAATTAATTGAGTCACACTCTCGGACTTTCATGAGTAATTAAGAACGATAAATCCGTATATGTAGCACAAGTGAAGCACA